TGAGTAGAGATGTGTAATTATGTACATGATTTCAAGTGGTTACAAATGATGTAACGCGGTTTGCCTTCTTTTTTAGGTAATTGATACTTTTTGTGTAAATATGAATTTCCTTTTCTAGATTGTCATTTCTACAAAGAATTTTACAATAGCATATATATCACGAAGGAGGAAGAACTTTTATGCACGTGCATGGGTGATCGGAATGAGCCTTTTTATATATTAAAATCACACTATTATCTTAGGAACTTTCCATCTTTATATGTTATTTCACCCTTTCAGCGCGAGCTTCTTATGAAGTTCAATATCACATCATGGCCTGACCTCTGTAGAAGAGCTCTGGACCTCTTTGCACTCAGATTTGTAATAGTGATTATGGATCAGGAGAATGTAAAAGTGAGTAGAGATGTGTAATTATGTACATGATTTAAAGTGGTTACAAATAATGTATCACGGTTTGCCTTCTTTTTTAGGTAATTGATATTTTTTGTGTAAATATGAATTTCCTTTTCTAGATGGTCGTTTGTACAAAGAATTTAACGATAGCGCATATATCACGAAGGAGGAAGAACTTTTATGCACGTGCATGGGTGATCGGAATGAGCCTTTTTATATATTAAAATCGCACTATTATCTTAGAAACTTTCCATCTTTATATGATGTTTCACCCTTTTAGCGCAAGCTTCTTATGAAGTTCAATCTTACATCATGGTCTGACATCAGTAGAAGAGCTCTGGACCTTTCGGCACTCGGATTTGTAATAATGATTAAGGATCAGGAGAATGTAACAGTGAGTCGAGATGTGTAATTATGTACATGATTTCAAGTGGTTACAAATGATGTATCGCAGTTTGCCTTCTTTTTTTGGTAATTAATACTTTTTGTGTAAATATAAATTTCCTTTTCTAGATTGTCATTTGTACAAAGAATTTAACGATAGCATATATATCACGAAGGAGAAAGAACTTTTATGCACATGCAAGGGTGATCGGAATGAGCCTTTTTATATATTGAAATCGCATTATTATCTTAGGAACTTTCTATCTTTATATGTTGTTTCACCCTTTCAATGCGGGCTTCTTATGAAGTTCAATCTCGCATCATGGCCTGACCTCTGTAGAAGAGCTCTGGACCTCTCGGTACTCGGATTTGTAATAGTGATAAAGGATCAGGAGAATGTAATAGTAAGTAGAGATGTGTAATTATGTACATGATTTCAAGTGGTTACAAATGATGTATCGCGGTTTGCCTTCTTTTTTAGGTAATTGAAACTTTTTGTGTAAATATGAATTTCCTTTTCTAGATGGTCGTTTGTACAAAGAATTTAACGATAGCGCATATATCACGAAGGAGGAAGAACTTTTATGCACGTGCATGGGTGATCAGAATGAGCCTTTTTATATATTGAAATCGCACTATTATCTGAGGAACTTTCCATCTTTATATGTTGTTTCACCCTTTCAGCGCAAGCTTCTTTTGAAGTTCAATTTCGCATCATAGCCTGACCTCAGTAGAAGAGCTCTGGACCTCTCAACAGTCGGGTTTGTAATAGTGATTAAGGATCAGGAGAATGTAACAGTGAATAGAGATATGTAATTATGTACATGATTTCAAGTGGTTACAAATGATGTATCGCGGTCTGCCTTCTTTTTTAGGTAATTTATACTTTTTGTGTAAATATGAATTTCCTTTTCTAGATGGTCGTTTTTACAAAGAATTTAACGATAGCGCATATATCACGAAGGAGGAAGAACTTTTATGCACGTGCATGGGTGATCGGAATGAGCCTTTTTACATATTGAAATCTCACTATTATCTTAGGAACTTTCCATCTTTATATGTTGTTTCACTCTTTCAGCGCAAGCTTCTTATGAAGTTCAATCTCACATCATGGCCTGACCTCAGTAGAAGAGCTCTGGACCTCTCGACACTCGGATTTGTAATAATGATTAAGGATCAAGAGAATGTAACAGTGAATAGAGATGTGTAATTATGTACATGATTTCAAGTGGTTACAAATGATGTATCGCGGTTTGCCTTCTTTTTTAGGTAATTTATACTTTTTGTGTAAATATGAATTTCCTTTTCTAGATGGTCGTTTGTACAAAGAATTTAACGATAGCGCATATATCACGAAGGAGGAAGAACTTTTATGCACGTGCATGGGTGATCGGAATGAGCCTTTTTACATATTGAAATCGCACTATTATCTTAGGAACTTTCCATCTTTATATGTTGTTTCACTCTTTCAGCGCAAGCTTCTTATGAAGTTCAATCTCACATCATGGCCTGACCTCAGTAGAAGAGCTATGGACCTATCGGCACTCGGATTTGTAATAATGATTAAGGATTAGGAGAATGTAACAGTGAGTAGAGATGTGTAATTATGTACATGATTTCAAGTGGTTACAAATGATGTATCGTGCTTTGCCTTCTTTTTTAGGTAATTGATACTTTTTGTGTAAATATAAATTTCCTTTTCTAGATGGTCGTTTGTACAAAGAATTTAACGATAGCGCATATATCACGAAGGAGGAAGAACTTTTATGCACGTGCATGGGTGATCGGAATGAGCCTTTTTATATATTGAAATCGCACTATTATCTTAGGAACTTTCCATCTTTATATGTTGTTTCACTCTTTCAGCGCAAGCTTCTTATGAAGTTCAATCTCACATCATGGTCTGACATCAGTAGAAGAGCTCTGGACCTTTCGGCACTCGGATTTGTAATAAGGATCAGGAGAATGTAACAGTGAGTCGAGATGTGTAATTATGTACATGATTTCAAGTGGTTACAAATGATGTATCGCGCTTTTCCTTCTTTTTTAGGTAATTGATACTTTTTGTGTAAATATGAATTTCCTTTTCTAGATGGTCGTTTGTACAAAGAATTTAACGATAGCGCATATATCACGAAGGAGGAAGAATTTTTATGCACGTGCATGGGTGATCGGAATGAGCCTTTTTATATATTGAAATCGCACTATTATCTTAGGAACTTTCTATCTTTATATGTTGTTTCACCCTTTTAGCACAAGCTTCTTATGAAGTTCAATCTCACATCATGGTCTGACCTCAGTAGAAGAGCTCTAGACCTTTCGGCACTCGGATTTGTAATAATGATTAAGGATTAGGAGAATGTAACAGTGAGTAGGGATGTGTAATTATGTACATGATTTCAAGTGGTTACAAATGATGTATCGCGCTTTGCCTTCTTTTTTAGGTAATTGATACTTTTTGTGTAAATATGAATTTCCTTTTCTAGATGGTCGTTTGTACAAAGAATTTAACGATAGCGCATATATCACGAAGGAGGAAGAGTTTTTATGCACGTGCATGGGTGATCGGAATGAGCCTTTTTATATATTGAAATCGCACTATTATCTTAGGAACTTTCCATCTTTATATGTTGTTTCACCCTTTTAGCGCAAGCTTCTTATGAAGTTCAATCTCACATCATGGTCTGACCTCAGTAGAAGAGCTCTGGGCCTTTCGGCACTCGGATTTGTAATAATGATTAAGGATTAGGAGAATGTAACAGTGAGTAGAGATGTGTAATTATGTACATGATTTCAAGTGGTTACAAATGATGTATCGCGCTTTGCCTTCTTTTTGTACAAAGAATTTAACGATAGCGCATATATCACGAAGGAGGAAGAACTTTTATGCACGTGCATGGGTGATCAGAATGAGCCTTTTTATATATTGAAATCGCACTATTATCTTAGGAACTTTCCATCTTTATATGTTGTTTCACCCTTTTAGCGCAAGCTTCTTATGAAGTTCAATCTCACATCATGGTCTGACCTCAGTAGAAGAGCTCTGGACCTTTCGGCACACGGATTTGTAATAATGACTAAGGATTAGGAGAATGTAACAGTGAGTAGAGATGTGTAATTATGTACATGATTTCAAGTGGTTACAAATGATGTATCGCGCTTTGCCTTCTTTTTGTACAAAGAATTTAACGATAGCGCATATATCACGAAGGAGGAAGAACTTTATGCACGTGCATGGGTGATCGGAATGAGCCTTTTTATATATTGAAATCGCACTATTATCTTAGGAACTTTCCATCTTTATATGTTGTTTCACCCTTTTAGCGCAAGCTTCTTATGAAGTTCAATCTCACATCATGGTCTGACCTCAGTAGAAGAGCTCTGGACCTTTCGACACTCGGATTTGTAATAATGATTAAGGATTAGGAGAATGTAATAGTGAGTAGAGATGTGTAATTATGTACATGATTTCAAGTGGTTACAAATGATGTATCACGCTTTGCGTTCTTTTTTAGGTAATTGATACTTTTTGTGTAAATATGAATTTCCTTTTCTAGATGGTCGTGTGTACAAAGAATTTAAGGATAGCATATATATCATGAAGTAGGAAGAATTTTTATGCACGTGCATGGGTGATCGGAATCGCACTATTATCTTAGGAACTTTCTATCTTTATATGTTGTTTCAACCTTTCAGCGCCGGCTTCTTATGAAGTTCAATCTCGCATCGTGGTCTGACCTCTGTAGAAGAGCTCTGGACCTCTCGCCACTCGGATGCACAGTTCTCGCATTAACGCAAGAAAGTAATGAGTGTGTTTTGTCTTAAAACTCAAAGAGGAAAACAATACAAGATATTATTATCTCATATTGTGTATGACACAAATCGTTTTGACATGTGTTATTTAGATTTGTTGAGTCTTGCATTACATCTACAATTTAGACCAACAAAGACCCAAAAATTATTTTCACTTCATTAAAAGAGAACTTTCGGGAGAAAAATCAGTATTTATATGTTTGTTACTTTTAACTGTTAACTATTATTATCTCTTTATTGTGTTCTTATCCTTTCACATGGTAGCTGTTAACTCTTCCAACCAATTAAGTTTTAAATTTTATCTTTCCGGTTCATTTACATTCACATATTTTTTTTTCGCGGCAAAGGAAATAAAACCAACTTGCTAAAAGCCCTAAAATTAATTTACTTTAAAAACCTTCTTCTTTTATTAGGAAATGTCTAACATTAGAAGGAAACGCTAATATATACTGCCAAAAGAGGTAAATATAATGCGACTCCCTCCCTATTATTATTTTTTTGAAGGAAAGTAATCATAATGCATCTCTTTAAACCCCTTCTATATATCATCACCATGATCTTTTCTACGCTTTAAGGGTTACAAAATCTAGGGTTGGAGATATCTTGGCTAAAAAGAAAGACAAGCCCATGGAGGAGTTGAATCAATTGCAGAATAAAGTGGCTGATATCACTTTAGATCTCCTTAGAGAGGTTAGTGCATTGAAATACAAGAAAACCCTGGAAAAAAAATTTCCCATCAAAAACTTTTTAACATTTTATTTTTTTTATTTTCTCTGTGAAGGAAATCCTTGATGAGCAATTTCGGCAGTTGCAACGATTGCAAGATGATGGTATGCAAGAGTTTGTTTCTGAAATGCTGTCTCTTTATGTGAACGAAACGGAGAAGATTATCAATGAGATGGACAGTGATATGTAAGTAATCCTCATTCTTTTTTTCTTTTTAGTATATTACTATCTGTAGAAGTTTATATTATGAAAGTTTGCTGATTTTTTTACTTTTGTCGAATTCATATATGTTCACTAAAAAGTAGTGTGGAGGGTTTTGATAAGGTTGATGCCCATGCAATCCAATTGAAGGGAAGCAGTGTAAGGTACTCATCATATTTCTTTTAAAAATTATGAATTTTTTTTTTTCAATTTAGAAATTTTAGTTTCTTCCTTTTTGGTTCGGCGTTGAAAAGATGCTAGGTAATCCATCATGCTATTTTTTTTCAGTCACAAATTAAGTTGTTCAAAAAGTATTTGGAGTGATCTATAGTAAACTTTAGAATTGATTCATAAACTTTGGAGTCTTTTGGACAATAGAAAGGTTTCAAAAGTGGGTCATAAATTTCTTCTGTATTGTTTGTTATTTAATTATATGAAACATTTTGGGGGTAAGATGTTGACATTATCAATTTTAAACTGAAAGAGTTTGTTTTAGAGGATAATAAAGTGGTGACAAAAAAGAAGATTTGATTCGTAAAGAGAGTGGTATTTTCTCCCTATTTTCTGCTTCTTCAATTTATATATTGCCATGGTTATTTCTCTGTATGTTCATTTTTTTACATTTGTTTTTGAAATAAATCCTGAACTATTTTGTGTCATTGCAGCATAGGTGCTAAACGTGTAGCGAATGCTTGCCAAACTATCCTTAACTGCTGCAAGGAGAATAATCATGCAGGGTTAGTTAGTCTTTTATCCCTAAGAATAATTTTGTTTATGTTCCATCGATTTTCTATCAAAATTCAAGTTTTGCCCTTGATTCAGGGGTGTTGAAGGTTTGGCGATACTAAAACAAGAGTATTCTCTCCTAAAAACCAAAGTTGAACCATTATTGTCGGTATGCATATACATATATATCGTCCATATTATAAATACATAGAAGAAGAACATATGTCTAAAACTTTTATTAACTCTTTCTTTTTGGTGATCTTTTGTAGCTAGAGAGAGAAATTATTGCGCTACATCGTTCAACCAATGCACCACAAAACAGATGATGAGTTGGGAAGAGATGGTGTATTTCGCTCCCTCTGAGAACTGTTTAATCGGCTAGATCAGAAGGCGACACCATTCATTCTTTGAGTAGCTCAATAATTTTACCTTAATGTTGCGTACTGAGGCAAGTTTGAATGAGAAGGTTATATTCGTTGTAAAATTTACTGTTCTAAGTACTTGTGAAATCACAGAGCCTTATCGCTACATTCTTGGTTTGTATTGGTGTGAAACTCTGCCTTCAATTTATTTGTCATTCTTTGAAGATTTATCAGCACCTCAGGGTCTGAAGCAAGTGCAAATGTTCTTTAAAGAGTGTAGTTCACCTCACTTTGCTACCATCTACTAGGCTTATAATCTAGGCGATTGGTTAAGCTTTCACAGGAGATTTATGTGTATCGAAGGCTGTTCAAACTACGCGACACTTTGATATAGAGATGATCGTAACAGTCATTGTTGAAAAGGATGCGATAGATTTGAATGGAAATCTTTGGAGAAATTATGTGCATATGGTACTATCAGAAAAAGAAAAAAAAAACCATCTTTGAATTGGTACATTTGACAAAGGTGGAAGGACAATCTGGACAGTTTTAGGCATAATTGGCAGGTTTTGAAGCACATACATTAGATGTCGATAGGAAGGGAAAGGAAGTACAAGTAACCAGCTGCAGATGATTAGATTGCGAAAACTCGTTTTTGGAAGAGATTTACGTGTTGCGTACTAAATAGAAGTCATTACGGATGAGATTCATTAGCTACTATAAACATGAGCTGGGAAATTGAAGAGCTTGCGTGGTTAATGTGCAACATTGCCATAGGGAATGAAACACGCTGCCGATGAACTGGCACGTAACTTACATATTATTGTAGTTATCAACAAAGTACTAGTAAGGAAATAATTTTATCTGTTTCAATCAGTATAGAATAAAAGAAGGTATATTCATATAGATCTGATAGATTGTTCGAAAAAATTAGTCAATTTTTGTGGGTAACACGTGTTTAAGTTGGACTGTACTCTGTATTTTGTATGTTACTTTGTTTGAAAATGTATGATAATTTTTCAAGAATCATGCATAGAATCCATCTCCACATGCAAAAAATTTCACCGCAAATCTCATTGGTCTTGAATTTTCAGACACTGAAGCTCATTTCTGAAGATTTTCTATCACTTGAAGGAGCAAGTTTGCGGAAGATTGTCAGTTAACTTGAAATATGACACTCAGAAATAGCATGACAATGTTGAAATAGAAAGAATATTAAGAAGCAATAATACCCCAAAATACGCAGACTACAGGTTGTATGCATGCCTGAATAATGATATTGGATTTAGTTGAGTCAGGTTTCTATCAGCAGAGTTTTTCAAGCAATCTACTATATATTTTCTATTTGTTGCGACAAGATACAGAATTTTTTTTGTAGCTTTGTAATTTTTATCATACTCTCTTTAAAAGCACGAGTTCGGAAAATCTTTTTTAGACAAATATACCCATTTATAGTTTGAACTATCTTATCTATAATCAAATTCTAATTTTCAATGGTCAATATTACCCTTCACTATTTTGAATATTTTATTTATATCTTAATCTATCCTAATCATAATCATATCTTATCCTAATCCTATGTGAACCATGTTTAGCTTAACAATTTAAAAAAACTAATATTAATAAAATATATAAAACATAAAAATGATATTAGTTTGTTAAGATAAAGAAATTACAAGTAGATAACATATTATAATACATGAATTACAGAAAAGACCCTAAAAAGTTCAAAATTATAAAAATCATCCCAATGTCTCAAAACTTAAAATAAAAAACATGAAATTAAAAAATAAACATCAGTTTGCAAAGAATTTAAAATTTACAATTAACACCTCAATGTCTCAAACAAAGAATTTAAAATTTACAGTTAACACCTTAATGTCTCAAAAATTATAGAAACACCCTCAAAAGTTTAAATTACAGACAAGCACATTAAAATTCTAAAATTTTAAAACTTACAAACAACACAGATGAATTCAAGAGATTACCATGATACACCTAAATTTTTTAACATTTAAATTTAAATTTTTTAATTAACACCCTCAATATCTCAAAAATTATAGAAACACCTTCAAAAGTTCAAATTATAAAAAGCCACCCTAAAATTCTAAAATTTGTAAATAACATAAGATGAATTCAAGATATTACCCTTAGACACCTAAAAAATTAAAATTTGCCAAAATTAACCTCAAAATTTTTAAAAAACTCCTTCAAAATTTAAAAATCGTAAAAAAAACTCTAAATTTTCAAAAATTTTAACTAGCACACATCAAATTCGTCGATTGGTAGACCGCTAAAATTTAATATTTTTCAAAATTAATCTATAGTTTTAATAATTACAAAAGACACCCTCAAAATTTTAGAGTTACAAGAAATATACTAACATTTAAAAAATTACCACCAACACATGAAACATAGAATTTACAACTACCAAACTTAAAAGTAAATTTTTTAAAAACTCTTTCAAAATTTTAAAAATTACAAATCACACCCTCAAAGTTCAAAACCACAAAAATGGGCTAAAATTTTAAAACTTGGCAAAGAAAAGTGTAATTGTTTGGTATTTTTCATATATATATATATTAAAATTTCTAATTTAGGGATTTACTATCCATTTTCAGCATCTAAGAATAGTCTAAGTTGATACTGGTAAACAAAAACAATAAGAATTGATTAAAAACATCCGGTTAATGGATAAAATTTTTAAAAATATTATAGATTAAAAATTATCGGCACTATATAAATTAAAGTAATTTCATATAATTTTAGTAATAAGTTGGGGTAGCCAAAATACATTCGTAACATTAATTGATAGATGTTTAAATCCATAGAAATGATAAAACACTATAATATTATACCTTAGCATTAATTGATTTTAATTTAGAAACTTTAATCTTTGACGTTAATAATATTTATAGGGTAAAAGAATACAAGGAATTACATATGGAGAAACTATTAGAATATTTAGAGATAACTTTAAAAGAATTGAGTTATTTCCATTGCAAATGGGAAAGTGATGGAAATAAATCTAAAATTCAGAAAACGTCAATGAATCACTTGAATTGGCATTAACATAAGACATATCTATTAATGAAGCACTGAATGAGTTACATTAAAAAATAATTTAATAACTTTATCCTAATCAAAGAAAAAATCTCCATGGAAGACATAAGAAAAATTAGTAAGTATTCATAAATTCCATACTGTGTTCTTCAAATTAAATATTAATATTATAATCTAAGAGAAATTGGTAATGAATAATGCAGGTATTTAGTTTAGATCTTTATGGAAAATGACAGGGATAGAGCAAAGGTAATATTATTGAAATAACAGAAATTCTTATTGGATGCACATCAGAAGAATTCATTTTAGAGGAAAATAAAGAGATAGCTTCTAATTTATTTAAGTAATAAATTAGGAACACAAAGAATTTTATATATATGAAATTAATATTTATTCTCATTGAAATAGAAAAAAAAATCAAAGTCTATATTTTGAGCAGTTTGTGTTGAACATCATAAGTACATTTGACTTCTTTGTAAAGTTAAATGAGATGATAAAAAATTAACGAGCCTAGGAAAGATAATAGCATAAAAAATACAAAATTAGCCTGATGTCACAATTGATGTAGATGATGAAGACAATACTCTAGAATTGTCCGAGAAATGATAAATGATAAACCTGAAGAAGGATTGATCTTAACTCAATAAAAAATAAAATAGAAGAAATAAAAACAATATTTTATGAATATTTTATAGAATAGTTTAATTATTTTGAGTGAAATTAGGAATCTTTAGAAGGGAGTTTCATGAATTTTTTTCAGTACTTTTATATTCTTATGTGGATGTTTTTATCATATAAAAGTATACTAGAGTTAGCATTAATCTTTAATTTATATTTTTTTATGAAGTCTATCAATGATTAGGAATAAACTTCATATTCTCTTTTGCATCGTTTTAACATACTTTAAATCAATCATTTTGCCATATTGGTTTTAAATATTCACCTTCCTTGTATAACACTATTTTAATATTTTTCACTTTGCAATGCTATACTTTCTCAAATAAAGCTTAGTTTCATATCGGTCAAAAATAATATGAAAATTTAAATTATTTTTAAATTATATTTGTTTTTTGTCAATTCCTCAACATGAAAATTTAAATTGGGTGTATCTCATTTAAACAAACGCAAGCAAGCAGCCCACGTCGCTGTCATGGACAGCCCCAGCTCACGCCCGCTCCCGCTTCGAGCCCAGCGCCCGCGTGTTTCGTCCGTGCTTGCCCACGCGCGCCGCTTCCCGCGATTTTTTTCCCCGCGCGCGCTTTCTTCGTTTCCCGCCTTGTGTGCCCGCCAATTACCTGAGTTCCCTCCCCCTTCATTTTCTATAAATAGAGTTGGTTGTGAGTTGAGTTGGTGTGAGAAAAATCTCAAGTTGAGTATTTTTGAGAGAAAAGAAAGAGAGGAAGAGAGAACTTGTATAAGTTTGGTATTTTTCCTCCATAGTGAAACCCCCTCCCGTGGATGTAGGCTAGTTTGCCGAACCACGTAAAAATCCCATGTTTGTATTTGTCTTATCTGTGAGTTATCATAGCTTGTAGGTTCCCTCGATATTTCAGTCCTTGAACTGATGAGAGGAAGAGTGTATATTTTACTTTGATGAAATATATCAATTTCGATTCTTGTTTCCTTTGAGAAATAAGAATTTCACACTCTATTCCTGTTTACTTTGAGAAACAAGAATATAGAGGTTGACTTGTGTTTTTGTGACAACAAAAGCCAGGGCTCTCTCTCAGGAGATATCGCTTCCGCGGTGGTGGCCGTGACTCCGCCCCAACAATTGGTATCAGAGCCCTTATTCAGACTGGAGGTGGTAAAATTTCTGATCTGAGGTGGTGGTTGAATATTGTGTGGTAAAACACAAGTAATTGTTAAAAATTCCTGAGAAAAGCGGATTTACATAATACAAGCGGAAAATGGCTTCTACAAGTAAAACAAGTAAAGTTGGA